CGCTCTGGACGCTGACCGATCCTGGGACAATCCACCTGTGACGTTGTGAGTGATGCGAAATGCTGATATTTTCACATTGAATATCAAGAAAAATGTGTCCCCCAATGCCAAGGTCATGGGTTCGATTCCCAGGGAATGCATGCATGCTTTGAGTGTAACTTGCTTTGGATAAAAGTGTCTAATAAATGCATAAATATAAAGCGTGACCTACCGTCTGTAGTAAATCTCCAGTGCCAGTGGGCGGCGCTGAGGAGCCTCCAGCACCTGAAGAACTTCAGAGAAGCAAGGTACAGCATGTGACACTCATTATTATGTCTTTTTGTTTATGTATACTCAATGCTCTTCAGTGTAAATCTGTCTGTCTCTAGTCTGCAGCTTCCTGTTCATCAGGATACAGCAGCAGAAAGCATCCTGGTCCGGTGGAGGCGCTCAAACACATGCTGTTCCGCCTGCAGGCCGTCGAGCACAAGATCAGCCAATCACACGCCTCCGGTGACGCCAAAACCTCTGCATCTTCATCCGCAGAGCTGGAGAGAGACACACCGGAGCAGGTGAGCGGAAAACCAGTGTTGCTCACGTTATAACTGACAAAGCTGTCCGCTTCATTGTCTAGTTTATCACATTGTGGCAAATTCTGTTAATAAGAACGGTATAACAATGACTTTTTTTATATTTTTTTAATGTATCAGGCAATATACAAAACAAGAAACTGATTCATATATGTGACCCTGCAGCACAAAAGCAGTGTTAAGTCGCTGGGGGATATTTGTAGCAATAGCCAACAATACATTGCATGGGTCACAATTATAGATTTTTCTTTTATGCCAAAAATCATTAGGATATTAAGTAAAGATCATGTTCCATGAAGATATTTAGTAAATGTCCTACCGTAAATATATCAAAACTTAATGTTTGATTAGTAATATGCATTGCTAAGAACTTCATTTGGACAACTTTAAAGATAATTTTCTCAATATTTAGATTTTTTTGCACCCTCAGATTCCAGATTTTCTAATAGTTGTATCTCGGCCAAATATCGTCCTATCCTAACAAACCATACATCAATGGAAAGCTTATTTATACAACTTTCAGATGATGTATACATCTCAGTTTCTAAAAAATGTACCCAGGTTTTGTGGTCCAGGGTCACAAATAAGCAATATTTTTTTGTACAGAGATGCAACAGCATAAATTAAAAAGGTAAAAATAAAAAAGCTAATTGTGACACTTTGTCACAATTCAGACATTTTTTCCTCTCAATTCTGAAAAAAAAAATTCTAAATTGAATTAGAAGAAGTCGCAATTACCTTTTTTTTATTACGTTAATAACAGAATTGCGAGATGTAAAATCAGAATTGTGAGAAAGTTCTTTCAATTCTGAGTTTATATTTCGGAATTCAGAATTTTTTTCATAATTCTAAATTCATGTCTCACGATTTAGATTTTTTTTTTTCAGAATTGTGAGGGAAAAAAGTCAGAATTGTGAGAAATTCACAATTACCTTCTTTTTTGTTTTACTTTTCATTTTGTGGTAGAAACAAAAAAAAAAACAGAATTGCAAGATGTAAAATTAGAATTCAAGAAAGTCATTTAGAAATAAACAAGAGAGTATAATTCTGACTTTTTCCCTCAGAGTTGTGAGAAAAAAAGTCAGAATTGCAAAATATAAACTCATAATTGTGAGATAAACAGGTACAATTACCTGTGAGGGAAAAAAGTCAGAATTGTGAGAAATTCACAATTACCTTCTTTTTTGTTTTACTTTTCATTTTGTGGTAGAAACAAAAAAAAAACAGAATTGCAAGATGTAAAATTAGAATTCAAGAAAGTCATTTAGAAATAAACAAGAGAGTATAATTCTGACTTTTTCCCTCAGAGTTGTGAGAAAAAAAGTCAGAATTGCAAAATATAAACTCATAATTGTGAGATAAACAGGTACAATTACCTTTTTTATTTTTGTATTGCGTGGTGGAAACGGGCTTCCACAGAGAACAGCAGAGAATACACTATTATTAACCCACATGTCATTATAATGTCTGATTTATATTCTTTCTTCTGTGAAACACAAAATGAGATGTTATGCAGAAATGTCCATGCTACTCTTTTCCACATTACAAAAGTGATTTTTGTACAGCTAAGCTCCAAAAAATAAAAAAGCAACATAAAATAATGACAATAGTTCCATGCAATATATTCCACTGTAGTCTTTTCATCACTCAAAGCTGATGTTGTAATTGACCAAAAACCACTGGTTCTTGTATGTCATATGACCAGCTAAACATAGCAAGTTTAAAATGTTTGCAACCTTTCATTTTTCCTGCACTATTCCTTTTCATTTTAATTTTAATTTTTAGTTTTGTGATTGTATTTTTTGTTGTGTTTAAGGTTCCTCAGCAGGAAACAGAAGAATCTGACCTGGGAAACGTGGAGTCATTACAGAGGTCAGGAGGGTCACGTGACCTCGGTGAAGCAGCGCTGCTCTCGTATCATCTACTCAAGCTGGTGTTCAGAGTTGTTGAGCCTTTATCTGTTTTCTCAGAGCTCTTCATCACCTGGACAGACTGAAAACACTTGTGGACGACATGAACGAGAGGAAGGCTAGAGCAGAGGATGATGGGATAGATTGTACAGACACTCCTGCAGCTAATATAACAGACTGGACCAGAATCAACAAGCAGCTGTGAACCAGAAACCACAGACTGTTATTATCCTACAGACACAAGACGCTTCATGGATCATATTAGCTGGAAATGTGCTCACCCTCAGGTTATTCAGGATTAGGATGAGTTTGTTTCTTCATCAGGTTTGGAGAAATGTAGCATTGCATCAGTGTCTCACTGCAAGTGAATGGGTGCCGTCAGATAAAAACATCCACAAGTAATCCACAGCACTCCAGTCCATCAGTTAACATCTGGAGAAGACAAAAGCTGAAACAAATCCATCATTTGTACCTAAAATATGAGTCTATAATCCATAATAACGCTTCCTCCAGTGAAAAAGTGCATCTGCTGTTGTCTCTCAGATCAAAATCCAGCCACATATGTGTTTAGAGCTGTTTAAACGCTGCTTGATCTGTGCAGATTTCTCTCCTGATTCACACCAGAACACTTTCTCACCGGAGGAAGCCTTATTATGGATTATAGACTCGTATTTTAGTTAAAAGCGTCTTAATGCTGGATGTGTTTCAGCTTTTGTCTTCTCCAGATGTTAACTGATGGACTGGAGTGCTGTGGATTATTGTGATGTTTTTATCAGCTGTTTGGACTCTCATTCTGACGGCACCCATTCACTTGCAAGTGATGCAGTGCTACATTTCTCCAAATCTGATGAAAAAACAAATTCATCTACATCTTGGATGGCCTGAGGGTGAGCACATTTCCAGCTAATTTTCATTTTTGGATAAACTATTCCTTTAAAGGAATCTGCTTTACAATATCTATTTGTCTTCATGAAAGATAATAAAAAATGCAGACTATCAGTCGAAGTGGTTTCAAAGGGCACATGCTTTTACCTGCAATGAGCAGCATTTGAGCTGATCAGTCAGTGTTTGTCTAAAGTGTGTTGCTTATTGACTTGCGCAATCATTTAGTGTTGCATTATTGTCTTGAACAATAATATGGATAAACACTGATTCTGTTGCTCTGTGCATTTATTTCTTCATGCAAATTATCATATGACTTCAGAAGTCAAGTTGTATGAAATAGGTCAGATACTTAAATTGATCTCGTGCGTTTCGAAAGAAAGAAAATCATACGGGTTTGGACCGATACGAAGGTGAGTAAAAGATTTTTACTACAGGACAGTTGTTTGATGTCGAGCTAATATACTCTGTGTTGCAAAACATGCTTATTTCTCTCTGTACTCTCCAAAATTACCAAATCAAGTCAAACACTTTCCAAGGACACTAACAGTTTGTGTTCATTTACAGGACATTGACATGTGATCAGTGTTCCTGGCTGCTGATTGGCTGGGATATTGATAAACCACACAAATGTTTTGATCTGATCGGCTTGATAAAGAAGCAGGCAGGTTCTGCTGACCGACCACAGACGACTCGGAAACCCAGGATCAATTTTAAGTATAGAAACCGAACAGAATCAATTGCATCAGTATTTTAGTCCATCTGCAGCAATGCATCGCTTCATTTCCATCATGTTTTCACTGCTAGCCTTTATTGGGCTGCAGGGGAGCGTTCAGACCGCAGGGAGACGTTCTGAGAGGAGCATCGAGAGACACTTCGTATCGTTGCTGATGGTACGCAATGGGATGAACTGGGGGTCGTGGGCTCAAAGGGAATTCTGTCCGAGGGGAACGTACGCCGCAGGATTTAGTCTCATGGTAAGTTGAGCACTGACTCATGAATGTGGCTTAACCTGTTAACTGTCCCTGGCCCACCGGTGGGCCCACTTGTCATTACATGTTTTAAACAGTAATATCTTAGTCTGAACCTAAAGTAATCTTGACAAACTATATATCGTTTGAAAGCTTACTAGACTCTAGTTTTCATATTTGGTGACGGATTTCTGAAATATTTGACAGAGCAACTGTAATTTATTAATTTGTAAGAAGAGTACTCCTCAGAGTCGGAGAGCGCGTTCTGACCTTCGCTTTGAAATAGCGGTGCACATATGAAATCAGTAAAAACCTCCATTCATTTTCATGTCAAGTGTTCAAAAAGATAACATCCATTCCATTTTCGGAGAAAAAAAAAAGGCCTAGAAGTGTTTTGAATAAAAAGAAAAAACAATTGATTATTCATTTTTGATGCAGCGTGAACTGTAACGTAGGTCTAAGGTTCTCGTCGCATGATTTTATGTTTTTTAGAGGTTGAATTGAAATCAGATACTGCCATACTGCCCTTAATACTTCTGAAAGGGATGTCTACTTTATAATTATTGAGAAAAGTATGGAAAAACATGTTTAAACCGTATATGGAAATGGAGGCGCCCTTATATGGTTACTAAAGGGGTTTGATGGTCATCTAGTGGAAAAGCTTGGTACTGCACCCAAACAAAATCTCACTGAAAGCTCATTTTTTGAGATATCAACCTCAAATTTGGAACACAACTTGTTCTAGCAGTTTTAGAGTAAAACATGTTTTGTAAAATATATATTTTATATAAAATATTTTAATTTTTATATTTTCATAAACTTAAACTTCCATAACTTTTTATTATACTACTACTACTATTATACTACTATTTACTATTCACTTCTACAATAATCTGCCAAGTGTCTTCTTTAAAAAGAGACCAACCTTAAGTCTGTGCTCCAAAGCATTCAACAATTTAATTTGGAAATGTCATTTTCAGGTCTATGCTCAAAAAGTGGAGCCGACAGTTAACGGGTTAAAGGTTCAAAACGGGTTTCTGATGTAGTATTTTTGTTTTGTTTGACTTGAAGTGAAAATGAAGCGAGTTTATGCTTAAAACAAGAATAAATATCTGCCAATGGGGTCAGAAAAGTACCCTTAAGTTTTTTTTACATGACAGAAGTTTCATTTTGATGTTAAATGCCATTAAAAACTACTCAAGTGTTTTTAAATAATGCATATAAATTTTAATAATTTGTGCTTTTGTCCAGTTAAACCTCCTTACGCAAGGTAGATTTAATACAATATGTAGTATTTTTTATTATTATGATTATTTAACATCACATTTTTTCTTTATTTAAGCAAAAACGGCAGGGTTTAACTACAAGTATTTAAATAACTTGTACTTTTGTCTTGTTTTCTAGTTAAACATCCTTAGTGCACAGGTTAGATTTAATGCAGCATGTACTATTTTTATTATTAATTATTATTAAACATCTTTATACAAAGTAGGTTTACTATTTGTAAACACTATTCAGCGTTGGGAAGGTTACTTTGGAAATGTAATCAGTTACAGATTACAAGTACAACTATTTAAAATGTAATAAGTAGTGTAACTATTTCAATTACTTTATTAAATTTTCTAACAAATATTTTCAAATGTTAATAATTTTGAAACGTTTAAGCCAGGCAGGGTTAACCTTACAGTAGTACTCAACACTGATTACTGTCAGACTCTCAAAATCCTTCACTTGAATTAAGATTATAATAAATTAATTTTAAAGCACAGCCACCACAAAATCAGACTTTTGCACTTCTTTTTTTACTTTGAGATCGTTCTGAGTTTAAAAACGGATTCAAAATCATGAGATGTAGTTTAATAGATATGATTCTGTTTTTGAAATCAAATCTTTGCAAAAGAAACCGGAAACGCTGACATCTAACAATGCTTTGGAAAAACTGTTAATCTTCAAAAATAAAGCATTTACACAAACTCAAATAAGAAATGCAACAGTTATCGAATAAGCATGCGTCCTATTCTGTGTCCTCAACTCCTGAAATATTGGTGTCTCATATTTTAAAGCAGTCAATGCAATTTGGGAAAGAAATCAATCAAATCTGTATGTATGAGAAAATATATAGACGACATTGTCATAAGTAACTGTAATTTAATTACACTTTTTTTCTCAGTAACTGTAACAGATTAGTTACATTTATGTTATAATTAAATGACGTAATTCCGTTACATGTAACTCACTCCCTGACACTGCTATTATTCAGCATCCTTAAACAAGTTGGCAATTGTTTTCTTTATTTAACTAAAAACTCACTTCATTTTGATATATCTTTCATCATAATGCAAGAGTTGTTTTGTCATTTTGCAACTCAAGTATATGGATCTTGATTTAAGAACGTTTAGATATTTGTTCTGGAAAACAAGACCAAAGTACTGAGGAAGAAAATCTATTTTTTGCAGTGCCGTAAGAATTAGCTATGTTTAGTCTCTTATTAATCTCCATGAATGCTATTATTGGTTAGTTAACTCTGTTCCCAACAGACGATTGCCTTAATGCTTTGCTGTTGTTTTTTGAGGTGGAGGAACTTTCCTTTGGTCTTTGGGATAACACGGCGCTCAATGGGATTCGTCTTCACTGCATCAGTCTCTTCAAAGACACACAATCAGATGAGCATGACAGTTTCGTTCAGTCCCACGTAGGAAGGTAATGGACTCAGACTTTACACTGTTGTGAAGAATTCTTACATTAAAGGTTAGGAAGGGTTTCTTCATAAGCTAGATAAATAAACTAACACATAAATAAAAACTAATAATGACTAATAAATAAAAGGTTTTTCCAAAGAACTAAAATTCTTTGAAATAATCATAAATTGTGATTTTCTTCAGCTGGGGTCAGTGGACAAAAATCAAATGGTGTCCTTCTGGATTCTTGACAGCTTTTCAGCTGAGAGTCGAATCTTCCCAAGGAATTGGAGACGACACGGCCGCAAACAACATCAGGTGAACATGTGGCAGTACAAGTCATACTGTTGCTGTTTTGTGAGTCGTTGAGCGTTATCAAGCTGTTTAAAGGGATAGTTCACCCAAAAATGAAAATGTGATGTTTATCTGCTTACCCGCAGGGCATCCAAGATGTAGGTGACTTTGTTTCTTCAGTAGAACACAAATGGAGATTTTTAACTCCAGCCGTTGCAGTCTGTCAGTCGTATAATGCATGGCAAAGGTAACAAAATCTATGAGAGTAAAAAAAAACATGCACAGACAAATCCAAATGCGTTTCGTGATTTAGGATTTGGATTTGTCTGTGCATGTTTTTTTACTCTCATAGATTTTGTTACCATTGCCATGCATTATACGACTGACAGACTGCAACGGTTAAAGTTAAAAATCATCAAATGTGTTCTACTGAAGAAACAAAGTCATCTTGGATGCCCTGGGGGTAAGCAGATAAACATTACATTTTCATTTTTGGGTGAACTATCCCT